TGCTGATGTTTCGATATACTCCACCATTCTAGTGCACAGTGGAGAAGAAACGGTCCTCAAACTGAAAGAAGGCTCCCAATTCAGAGTTTTGGCCCAATAACTGTGCAAAATGGAAATGCGGGACGTACTCTACTGCTGTTCACCTCATATTTGTTCAGTATACATATGTTCAGAAAGATTTCAGTGTACAGGGCTGTCATTATAAATCAGCTTTTTTTTTTTTTTTTTTTAGAACTGTGAAATGTATTCCATTAAAAGTAGTTGTTCCATGAGCAGCAAACTAACAAAGCCTGATTTCTACTTGACTGGTGTTTACAGTCAGAGTAACTACAGCTTGTCACTGTCCTCTCTAAGCTTGTGCCAAAAAACCTCAGATTCCTCTCACATTTCCCCATCACATTTCCACATCTCCCCACAATTTCCTCACCTTGTTCCTCTGCCCCTCAACTACTGCCTTCCACATTCCCTAACCTCACCAGCCCACAGCACTGTATTCTCCCTCCCATACTTTCTCTTAATTACATTCAGGACAAGAGGCACTACCTGCTGCAGCACACAAGCACTAGTCAACTAGCCAGTACACGCGTGCCAATTCGCTAGTTAACAAGCAAAACAGAAAACAAGTGTCGAACTCATCCTGCACCTTCTCCCCTTGAGAAGAAAAGGTATGCACTTATTTTGGTTTCCTTTCCTCCACCCAGAGGCTTATCTTCATGGAACTTTAAAGAGCTCTTTCTTGAAGAAACTTTGAGATGTCTATCCCGCTGCCAAATTTGGATGAAATCTACTGAAGTTGTTAAAATGGAATTGATAGAGTGATTACACAAGCTTTCTTTCCTTTGGAAAGTAGGCTAAAAACCCATTAACAGTCTTACTTATGTCATCCCTTCATTCCCATTCTTCATTTAAAAATAACAATTTTATTCTACTGCATTAGCTTATGTAACCCACCCCTGAATTGAAGTAGTTGAAATTTTCGGGTTGGTTTTTTTTTTTAAGTGTGTGCGCCTCTCTATACATTTGTCCATTTTAAGGTGCTTGGTACTATGAAAAATAATGGCAAGATCAGTGAAACCAAGTAAGCTTCACTAATAGCCATCCCCCAAAGTTTCTGGACTGGTATCACTGCAAGCAAGAACTGAACTGCTTTTCCTCTAGCAAGCTGTCAGCTGTTCTCATGGTTACAGATCTAGGAATTTGGAATGACAGGTCACAGTTATGAGAACGAGTAGATTTATTTGGCATGTTTCCATCTAGTAAATAACATTCTCCTATAAAGAGGACAAGAGGCTGCTGTACATTATCATGGTGTTTATTCTCTGTGAAAACCACTTTTTTAAGTCCCTGTCCCAACAAAGAAGGTGCTAACCAGATTTACGTATTTCTTAAAATTGCTCACTCACAGAACGAAGACAAAAATATATAACACTTGCACTCTCTCCATTACTATAAATGGACCACTGGTGCTTTCACCACAAGATTCAACTGTGTATATACACTTCCCAGATGGCGTGAAGCAAGGGTAGAAAAGCACGCTTCCCATTTAAATGCAAGGGAAGGCAGGAATGTTAACAGCTGTCATAGGGTAAGATCTATTCTGTCAATTGGCTATTTAAAAAATAACCATTATTTTTTGATTAAACTACCTGCCAAGATTTGTGAAGCTCCAGCTATGGCGTTATGCAAATTACACTAACACAGCTATGAGCAATTGGTTTTCACAGAACCACAAGTTCAGCTAACAGGACAACAGCAGAACAGGCTTCTCACACTTCCAGCTCTTCACTGCTGGAGCGGTTTTCCTCCAGGAAAGCCACGGCAGTCCAGTTTCCAAAGCCTCTGTTAATTAGTGCAAAATGAAACGCGGAACTTGTGCCGAGGAACTGAACACCTACCCACTGAGCTTCTCCCAAAGGTGGGCCTGCCTAAATGTGAACAGCGTTTTGTCCCTGCTGAGCCAGACTGGAACTGTACTGTAATTGTCAGTCACCAGTCCCAAGGTATTCACTCCCCCCAACTGGGGCCCTAGGGATCCAGGGACATGCCCACATACCGCGCTCAATAAGAAACAAAAATTTAACACTGTCGTGATATGCCAATTCATCCAACCCAGAATGCTCTGTGAAACGCTTGACTGAATCACTCATCCTCTTGGAGAACTCTCTGTTCACCTCGTGAGCTGCCAGGGAGAACCGTTCTCAAAGGCTCCCAGGCTTATCATCCCAGGATTTAAGGCCTGATAACTCCAGGGTGGCAAGCCCTGTACACAGAGGAAGGGCTCCAGAGTTTCCTGTCTCTCACACGGGCCTGCACAGGTAGCTTGAGAGCCCACACAATTTCAAAGACCCAAATGAGTCTTGATTTCCAGGTCACCAATAGAGGCGATCAGCTGAGAGGCCTGGGAGGGCCTTCTTCAGCTTAGGTCTCAAGCTTCTGGGCCTGCAGATGGAAGCCTTGAAGCCCTGATAACAGGAACATTATCAGAACTTCTGCTCCCGCAGTTGAAGACCTGGGCAAGTTTCCAAGGTCCCTGCTAGGCACTGTGAAGTCTGGTAGGCTTGACAGTCCAGCAGTCCTCTGAGCGCTGGTCTGAGCTTAGTCAAAAGGTGCCTGTCTCCAAATTAATTTCTATCTTTTCCAAAGAAAAGTCTAACGGAACTCCAATATGAGGGAAATTTCAAAATGTCACAATTTCCCATGAATTAGGGAACACCAAGTTTTGCCCACCTTTGATTTCAGTTTCCTTCAGAAAAGTCTCTATCCTTTGTGTTCTACTCTGAGAATGAGCCTTCATCTATTAAAATACATACACTAAAAACAATGAATATGTCCAAAATGTGCCAATTTGCCTCTAAATAGAACCTTCAAAATATAAAACCATTCCTCAGTTTATTCTCAGGTTTCTAGATATTTTCCCACATACGTGCCCGCCTTGAACCCAAAGCCTTCCGTTCTAAAACACACTTATTCATCCTGCCCCAAGATTAATTAGTAGAAAGGACACATCCTGTAAAGTTCAACCTGCAGAGGTTCAAAGCAGAGACTTCTACTTTAGCATGCTATGTACTCAGCGCTTCACTAAAACAGTGTCTGTAAAGACTGGACAGCTGAGCGTAGGATCACTAGCATTGTTCAGGACCAAAAGATATCAAACACAAGAACAAGCCAGTCCTGGTCACCTCCAGGTATCAGCAAGCACACAGTGCAGCCACCTGAGATGAAGGGCAGCATGCCTTGACCACAGGGAAAAAGCAGATTCCCAGGATTCAAGCCCTTGGTGGGTAATGCAGCAAGGAAAGCAGGGATGAACTACACGATCGTGCATTAAGAAGATAAAAGATTTGGTCCACTTAATTTATTAGGCAGTATCATGAAGTTGGTGATACTTAGTTCTGCTGTTTTAGAGTCCTAGATACCAGTCCCAACTCTGGTTTGCCAGCTTGCCACAGAAGTGATAACAAGGTAGAGAACATCAGTCGGAATGCAAGCTCTCAGTGGGCAGTTTGCTCCATCTTCCCCTACACAGCAGGTAGTAAGTAACTTGGCAATTAAAAACATGAAGTATTTTACTACTTGAGTGAATACTTTACTGAGACATTAAAAAAATCCTGTGCCACACTAAACTTGGGAAACCTGCAAAAACTTTTTCCAAAAACTCCATTATGATAATAGTATTGACGTTCTCAATTTCCCACGCACCTAAACGAATATAACATTCTCTTGGCATTTAAAACACTTATGATACAGCTATTTTTAGTTTGTCTATAAATCATCGTTGAAGACCTTCTTTACTTTTAAAATTTTCTTCTCGTCATTAAAAGGTGACTAAAGCCTTTTCCAATTTTGCAGTGCCTAGAAACTTCATATAATTTAAAAGAAATTAATACCGCTCACATCTACTTATGCTGTATGTTTCAGATACATGCATTGTGACATGCATGTATCTAAAGCATACAGTCCTAATGAATGATTTAAAACTCAGTATTGCATACAATACCAATGACTTCAGATGTACAGAAGGAAAACCTTAAAAGCAGCATGACTTCCTGCCTGAAAAATAGGTTTTGCTTCAGCCTATATTCACAAACAAGTTAACCAGATGTCACAATGCCATATCCAAGTTCTCCTTATTGCTAAAGTGTTATCACTAAATTCTTGTTCCCTATTAAACACACATACAGCCCACTGCAACAGCAGGGGTATTGAGTCAACTGATCCAATAGCCCTTTTCCACCTTTAATTTCTATTCTTCTGCTACTTCCACAAAATCCCCACTAGCATAACGTGTATTTTAGAAAAGAAAGCCAAAACAGCAATACAGTAGTAATTGTTTCCCACACACACCAGATTCTACCTCAGGATCAAAAGTACGAATTAAGTAGTATTATTATCAGTTTCTTGATATGCAATATGACAAAGTACAAACCTTTTTTTTTTTTTTCAAAACCAGGCCACAAGTTGATGCAAACAAAGCCAATGTTGCACACAGCATTCTAGCTCCTGTACTATGTGTCCTCTAAAGTAGTAAACCCACAATTACCATGAGAAAAGTCCAGCTGGAGGTATCACCTACAAGCTGCATTACTTCTTTCTTACACATTTTTTCAAAACATATGTTCTGCTTGAAAACAATTCAGTACCAATGAGCTGGCAGTAGAACAACAATTTAAGTTGTGGTCTCAATAAAGGTAGGAGGGGGAATTCACTAAAGCAACATATTTCAGTTACAAAACCCCAAGAAGCACATTATAAGGAGTCAGGCAAATATATATTAAAGAAAAAAGCAACTAACTATATGCCTTTAAAAGTGCACTTCATGGATGAAAGCTGCCAAATTACAGAGGGGATTTACTGAGAAGAATGTGTTACTGCCAGAATGGACAAAAGCATGCATTCTACCCATTCCAAGCTCCTCCCCATCTCCTGTCATGCTCACAGCAAGCAGCAGCTCCAAAATTGACAACCACAGACTCCAGGATTGAAAGAGACAAAAAAAATACCTGCTGGTAAATGCCTGGAAAAATTTTATTTTGAAGATCTGATAAAGGAGACTGGAAAAAAAACCCCACAAACAAAACAAACAAAAAAAAACACTTATGATCAAGAAACATTCCCCTGTGTTCTTGGGACATCAAGCACAGTTCCATAACAGCGCACGCCTGGCCGGCGTTTAGAAGAGCCAACGTGCAGCAGCGCTTTCCGAAGAGGCGCGGCAACCCGTACACCGCATCGCACTGCCGCTGGCCCCAAGGCAGGAGTTCCCCGGAGTTTGTGTGGAGTTGGGAAAACCTCACTCCCCCCACAAAGGGGGAGCGCCTGGTGACCCCGAGGCACCCG